TTTAGGCATTGTATGTACTAGCTCTATCTATAAATCCATCAACTTTTGTATCTTACCTTGTATGTATGTACGTTACCTGAATAAAAATTTGTATTTGTATTATTTGTGTATAGAGGAAGGGGGGGGGGTGGTTGAGGAGACATGGGTGCCGCTGGACTCCCCTCCCCCCAGTATATATTAGACGGAGGCCAGAAAGTTGTGTACACACTTGGTCCGGGAGACATCTCCCGTCACGCAGGGTGCAGTTGCGCCTCCACAGATCTCCAGTATCATCTTTTGATACTGGTAATGGCTCGAAAGGGCCACCACTTACGGGCTATTCATGCCCGTGCCACCTCTTGGGTGGCTTAATCTTCATCAATCAATCAATCGAAAGTTGTACAGACACCATCTGGTCACCATTTGGTCCGGGAGACATCTCCCGTCACGCTGGGTGCAGTCACACCTCCACAGATCTTCAGTATCAGCTCTTGATACTGGTGATGGCTCAAAAGGGCCACCACTTACGGGCTATTCATGCCCGTGCCACCTCTTGGGTGGCTTAATCTTCATCAATCAATCAAGTTGTACAGAGACGGCACCGCTCCTGTGCCAGGTAAGTCCACTACGGGCTCACCATAGTCCGTGCTATTTGCCCCGCTCCTGTGCCAGGTAAGTTACGGGCTCACCATAGCCCGTGCTACTTGGAACTTGTTCCGAGTAGCTGAATCTATAACAACAACAGAAAGTTGTAGCTGCATCACTTATGAACCCATCCCTGCCCTTGTGTGGCAGTGCACAATAGAAAGTTGTTTTCACATATCCATATATTAAAACATTGATTGTAACCATGATGTACATGTGCTTCAGCCTACAGTTTAGACTTATTATCTTGTGTATGACCCTCTGTCCTGCGTGACAGTGAATACCAGCATTATCCTCACTTTAATAAGACTTAATCGAAATCCTCAGATTAGGCAAAATTGTAATTGATTTTGTCAATAAAGATGTTAATAATAATAAGTTTGCCTCATGAAACTTTCCATTGAGAATTGTGACTGCATGGAGAGTGTCAAAGGGTGGTTGGGGGTCGATCCTATTGCCCCTCTGTAAGTAGGATTGACTCCTTTTGTGACAGCCAACGACTCTGAAGTCTGGGAGAAAATGGGAGGAATAACGGAAAGGGAGAGAGAATGGGGAGGGAAGGAGGGAAAAAGAGAGAGAGAGAGACCCGGGCACTGCTGGGTACCTCACCAATCTATAAAAAAATAATGTCTGTCAAAGGCATGACGCCAGATCTTTGAGACTCTTTGTATGGTGATTGTATGGAGAGTTTCATAAGGTGGTTGGGGTCACTTGCCGTGATAAAGCCAGTGTATTGTTACATTGGTTCACCTATTAAAATTAAATACATAACTCATCAATGTAACCATTAAAGAACATTTAAAACATTTATATAAATATATTTTGAAGGTGGCTTCCCCAACTTCTTCTTTCAGTTAATTCCATTTGTTGTGTTGGCAACCTTAATGGAAGCGAATGTGGTTCAATGTGGTAAAATGGTCGCGGAGAAAGAAATGGTGATAATAATGGTGTTAAAGGAAGTGGTTTTGACAATGTTGGTGGTATAAATTGTGGTAATTATGCTATTAATGGGGTGAGGAGGGATGTGGTTACTACCCACTAGGTAGGGTGTTACTGGGTGTATGGGCGGGGTGGGATATGTAAGGCAGGATGGGATGGTGGAATGAGGAATGTAGGAACGGGTGGGACAGGGTAGGAATAGTTGGGTAGGATGTGGGTATGGAGAGTAGGGCGGGGGTGGGACATTTAGGACCGTGTGGGATGTGATATGTAGGGCGGCGAGGGATGGGAAATTAAGGAGGCAGGATTGGGTACGAACGGGTGGGATGCGGCTTGTAGGTCAGTGAGATAGGGAAGGGCGGGGTACGAATGGGTGTGGTTGGGTGGGGGTGGTGGAGATTAGATTGCAGACAAATACATCTGAGAAGCCAGCCTTAAGGGGGGGGTTCGGGGACAGTTTAGGATACCAGACTTCACTATATCTTTTCTTTAAGACCTAATGACCAAAAATGTGTCCCAAACCCTGAGCATTAGTTTGTATAATTATACGACAAAAAAGGAACAACATTTTTTGTTAAACCGTTCTAAAAAAATGGGTTAATGATATAGGCACCGGAGACTAATATCACTTAAACTCACCGTGAAGAAATACGATATTAAATCTTTAACATTAATCGGGTTATAATGATGTTCAATTACACACGAGGCAAGCCTATGGTTATAAGACAGTCCAACGTTAAATATCTTAAAGAAATATTCCTATGATTGTCTCCAGTGCAAAACTTCTTAGTGAACGGTTTGCACTCGAAAACACTGGAATATTTACTGATAGATTTGTTATTTCTTTATGCCACAGATCTATCCATCCCGCACCACATAACCTGTCCATAATTCACAACATACCCATCTTGCGCTCTATACCCAGCTCATGCTGCTCCCTAATGCCCATCCTGAGGGCAGTGGAACTCATACAATACACTAACTGGCTATAATGTCTTTAGGAACCGAATCCTATTCTTTTTTTTATGCAGTGGCGGCGAAGTCTAGTCACATGGTGCAAAACACGTCAACTCAATTTAAGCAAGTCACAAGTTCTACACAAGAAGAACACAGCGAGGGTAACCTAACCAAGCAATGCAAAGAACATTTAAGACCTGACTAAGGGGGGTAGAAATAGCCTAAGCTACTCTATCCCTTTGAGATGTTTTATTGCTTATCTCAATAAACATACTTGAACCTGACTAACCTATGGTTGTAGTTAGTGGTGGTGAGGGTGATGGGGGAGAGTGGTGGGGGCGGGTAATGGGGGGATAGTGGCAGAGAGGGGGAGGGAAGGTTGGGTACACTAGGCTGCCGTCTCCTGCATCTGTTTTAATTTCATTTGTTCATTATCACTCTACACGTTTCGTATTTGTTTACCTCATGGCCATGTAGCGTAACATTAGTACTGTTGCTATGTAATTATCCTTAAAACCTGTTTATAAATTTGAGACGAATTAAAACTACTCACTTAGTATCGCAACTAAGCGCAACTAGTTAATAAGACAAAAAGTGTTTAGCTTATATTTAGAACACTGAAGTTCAGCTCCCGAACTGGTTATGTGAATAACATTTATACCCCGTCCACAAGATGGGTATGGGCTTCACCACCGCCCACAAGATGGGTATGAGCTTCACCACCGTCCACAAGATGGGTATGGGCTTCACCACCGCCCACAAGATGGGTACGAGCTTCACCACCGCCCACAAGATGGGTATGGGCTTCACCACCGCCCACAAGATGGGTACGAGCTTCACCACCGCCCACAAGATGGGTATGGGCTTCACCACCGCCCACAAGATGGGTACGAGCTTCACCACCGCCCACAAGATGGGTATGGGCTTCACCACCGCCCACAAGATGGGTATGGGCTTCACCACCGCCCACAAGATGGGTATGGGCTTCACCACCGCCCACAAGATGGGTACGAGCTTCACCACCGCCCACAAGATGGGTATGGGCTTCACCACCGTCCACAAGATGGGTATGAGCTTCACCACCACCCACAAGATGGGTATGGGCTTCACCACCACCCACAAGATGGGTATGGGCTTCACCACCGTCCACAAGATGGGTATGGGCCTCACCACCGCCCACAAGATGGGTATGGGCTTCACCACTGCCCACAAGATGGGTATGGGCTTTACCACAAGATGGGTATGGGGGCCGATTATAAACTAAGAAACCATATCTATCCTATGGGCGTTGGCGGAAAGGTCATAGTGACATAATAGATTCTAAAATAGGACCCCCATATTATATAGACTAAGCAAATCTCAGTATTGTGAAAAAGTTTTAATTTGCCTATTTTTTTTATTATCAAGTTAATTGCAGTGATCTCATGACAGTAATGCGGTTAATGTTACGTACGAGATCATGGATAAGAAATAAGAAACTAAATTAAGGCATTTTTTTTAGGATTCATGAAGGGTGAATGAGCGTTTGTAAGTTACCATCAATTATACGGATACTACTCAGCTGGGAGCCATAAATTATAGCACATTTTACACATACCAATTTCCCGCCTGCGCTAAATGGCTTACTTAGCGCATGTGGAGCAACGACCCAGCCATGATTACTTAACCTCACGTCTCTTGTTACTGCTGCACTGAATACTGAAGTCAACGTTCAGTTTATTATCAAACTACATTCAGAGCAAGTGAAAATCCGTCCGCAAAACTACATAGCCTATCTCTCCTTTAGACTAGAATAATTCAATCCAAGAATTGAAATGAAATTCATTATGATCAAGAAATTGTAAATTTTATTAAAAAAATATTACTGAAAATCCCAAAGCCTCCTCAAATTACGTAGGTAAAGGAGAGATAATAAATTTCCCTACTATAATATGTTGGTGCTGAATGTAGAATGTGAAAAACACAATTTTACTCGGAAATACAACGAAATAAGACCAAAATTGGTGGTGGCTGACCACCATAAAGTCCAATTGCTCACATCGACGGCTTTTATTTCCATCAACCAACATCAATATTTTGGTCTCAATTCGTTATAAAATGAGTTCATTTCCGTGTAAAATTACGTTTTTTAACGTTCTACATGCAGAACTAACATTATAGTAAGCAAAAATGTTATATATATATATTTTTTGCTTACTTAGTTGGCTGCTTTGGGCGGCTTTGGGTGCCTATGGACCCCAACAGAAACGAACACCACTTGTGCGATTTTTTTCAGCACCTATTTTTTCAACAATAGCTCTTGACACACACTATGTAACCATTCATATAGCATCTGCATGAATGTAGATGTACCTAAATATGTTAATAATGTAAAAAAAGGGAACCAAATCACGATGTATAGTGAGAGAATGATTTTTCTGTCTTGAGAGAATGAACAAGGCGCCGTTCGCGGCAACAATGAAATAAATCAAGGGCCTTACTTTCGTTCCCAAGGTGTCAGGTGGAGTGTACTTCGTTTTCTCTTGTGCGAAGTTTAATGTTGCAATGGTGGACATTGTAGAAGACGGGAGAGAGGTGGACTGGCGAGGAGCGCGCAGGAGGGGAGCCGGGTAGTAACTGCAGCTGCCGTAGTAACAGTGTGTTGATAGTGACGGTGGTGGTGGTGGTGGTAGTAGTAGTTCGCGACCAAGGACGTCCGGGGAGGGAGTGCATGGGGGGTGCTGGTGGGGTGATGAGCTGACGGAGAGACGAGGGAGGAGCTTCCCTATTCCTGTTCCTCCAACCTCCACCACTCGCCGGCCCGTGCGGTACATGGCCATGTCTGCACAGAGACAGTGAGAGATAAGATTACAACTACAAGTATCTTCACAGTAGTGGAAGCCTCACTGAGGCACATAGAGCCATTCTCCTCACCTCACTCAACGTAGCAAATAACTTTCACTAACACTGATGCCGGACACCTCTTGAAATATGAGATTTTCAATAACCAACGACTTATCATTTAAGCATTAATTACATCAGTCTAATATCTTCTAGCTTGTATATTGAGTCTTGAGGAGCACACACACACCTGCCCACAGCTCCAGACACACACTGGCTGGCGTGCAATACTGCTACAGGAGCCCTACGTACACCTGCCAAGAAATGTTAGATAAATTTAGTTCACATAGTAACGGAATTCATAATTTGAGATACTCGTCTGTTTATATTCTTTTGTTTACTACAATGAAATTACGGAATATTGCTAAAAGATTCAAATTCTATGAAATGGATGTAACGACAGGATTTTTTTTTAAACATATCTACAGTATTGACATAACTATTTAGTGTTATTAAAAGACAAAATCTTTTATTGGCTTCGCCCATGTTACTAATTATTTGGGCAAGTGAGGCGAGGCTTGCCAGAGGTGACACTCCGCTTGACAACACCGGCATGCCGCCAGGTGAGGTAATAGTTGGCTGCGGACCTGCGCAAGGTACCGCACAATCTGTAATGAAAGGTTCGCTGTGAGGTGCAGTGATACAAGTAGGATGATAAAGTGTGTGTTTGTAGAACTGTGAAGGGGGTGAAGGTGTAGAGTATGAAGGGGTTATCAGGGGGTGGAGGAGAGATAAAGAATTCTAGAGTAAATTTAACTTAGTTAATATTTTATTAACCCCGTACCCTGCGTACTGTGACCACAATATTTGACCCTTCCCGTGGGCTCATATACGCAGAGGTTCTGTGTATGGGAAGGGAAAGGAACTATCAGGGGAAAAGCGCCAAGCCCTTACGACTATATAGCACTGGGAAGGGGTCAGGATAAGGATTTGGGATGCGAAGGGGGGGGGGGGGAAGGAATGGTGCCCAACCACTTGGATGGTTGGGGATTGAACGCCGACTTGCATGAAGCGAGACCGTCGCTCTACCATCCAACCCAAGTGGTTGGACGCCCACGACCACGCGTATGAGTTATAGTGGGCTCCATTCCTCTCCTGAGGGTAAGTGGGGCTCCATATCTCTCCTATGAATGATAGTGGGCCCCTTACCTCTCCTATGAGTGGTGATGGGCCCCCTATACCTCTCCTATCAGTGGAATTGGGCCTTATACCTCTCGTATGAGTGATAGTGGGCCCATATCAATCCTGCGATTGGTAGCGGGCCCATATCTATCCTGCGATTGGTAGGGGGCCCCATACGTGCGTGATAATGACCCGATATCCATCTTGTGAGTGCTTACTCATTCACTTACCCTATATCTGTCCTGTGTGTGGTAATGCCTACCATCCATCTGTGGGCCTACCACTTTCGTCGTATACATCAGTGACCTTTACCAATCAATGGTAAAGTAGGATGCAAAAAGTATATCGAGACCTTACAGAGAGAGCTCTATGAACTCAGTAAATGGTCAGAAGACTGGCAAATGTTCTTTAATATTGAAAAAGGCAAGATGTTGAAGGTAAGGCATGACAATGCACAACACAACTATCAAATCAACAACACTACCACGTACCAGATTGATGAAGAAAAGGACCTAGGAGTCCTAGGAGTCCATCCAGCAGTCATTGAAAATTGCAAAAGTGGGAGCTGAGTAAAAAACGCCAAGTCAAACAATTTCAAGGAAAAGAAATTGGTTATTTAACTACAGATATCTGGCGCGTCCCATTTGGACTACAATACTTAAGCATGAAAACCTCATCGGCCTTGGAGAAAGCCTAACGCAGATTTTTTTTTTAACGCTGCACATTTCTTGCGCCAAGTGAGTACGACGGACTAACCATAGCCCATGCTGCCTGGAACTTTTTGTTCACAGTAACTGAATTAAAACAACAACAGCAGAGCTACAAAAATAATCCCAGAACTAAGTCGACTCTCAAAACCAGGACAGATCTGACAGCGTTGCAAACCAGACATGACTGGACGGATCTCTGAAAAACTTTTAAAATAAAGAACAAGTTTGAGGCTATTAATCATACATACAGGGGACAACAGTTTCACTCAGTAAGCCACCATTTAGGGCAGAAAACAGGAGATGTTTTTCACTCAAAGGTTAAGCTTGTTAGAGGCAGTACAAACTTGCAGGCAATACAGCTTACAGACAGTACAGGCTTACAGGCAGTACAAGCTTATTGACAGTACAGGCTTACAGGCAGTACAGGCTTCTAGGCAGTACAGGCTTATAAGCAGTATAGGCTTATAGGCAGTACAGGCTTATAGGCAGTACAGGCTTATAGGCAGTACAGGCTTATAGGCAGTACAGGCTTATAAGCAGTATAGGCTGTACAGGCTTATAGGCAGTACAGGCTTATAGGCAGTACAGGCTTATAGGCTGTACAGGCTTATAGGCAGTACAGGCTTATAGGCAGTACAGGCTTATAAGAAAGTACAGGCTTATAGGCAGTACAGACTTATAGGCAGTACAGGCTTATAGGCAGTACAGGCTTATAAGCAGTATAGGCAGTACAGGCTTATAGGCAGTACAGGCTTATAAGCAGTATAGGCTGTACAGGCTTATAGGCAGTACAGGCTTATAGACAGTACAGGCTTATAGGCTGTACAGGCTTATAGGCAGTACAGGCTTATAAGCAGTACAGGCTTATAGGCAGTACAGGCTTATAGGCAGTACAGGCTTATAGACAGTACAGGCTTATGGGCAGTACAGGCTTATAGGCAGTACAGGCTTATAGGCAGTACAGGCTTATAGGCAGTACAGGCTTATAGGCAGTACAGGCTTATAGGCAGTACAGGCTTATAAGCAGTACAGGCTTATAGGCAGTACAGGCTTATAGGCAGTACAGGCTTATAGGCAGTACAGGCTTATAGGCAGTACAGGCTTATAGGCAGTACAGGCTTATAGGCAGTACAGGCTTATAGGCAGTACAGGCTTATAGGCAGTACAGGCTTATAAGCAGTATAGGCAGTACAGGCTTATAGGCAGTACAGGCTTATAGGCAGTACAGGCTTATAAGCAGTACAGGCTTATAGGCAGTACAGGCTTATAGGCAGTACAGGCTTATAGGCAGTACAGGCTTATAGGCAGTACAGGCTTATAAGCAGTACAGGCTTATAGGCAGTACAGGCTTATAGGCAGTACAGGCTTATAGACAATACAGTCTTATAGGCAGTACAGGCTTATAGGCAGTACAGGCTTATGGGCAGTACAGGCTTATAGGCTGTACAGGCTTATAGGCAGTACAGGCTTATAAGCAGTACAGGGTTATAAGCAGTACAGGCTTATAAGCAGTACAGCCTTATAGGCAGTACAGGCTTATAGGCAGTACAGGCTTATAGGCTGTACAGGCTTATAGGCAGTACAGGCTTATAGGCTGTACAGGCTTATAGGCAGTACAGGCTTATAGGCTGTACAGGCTTATAGGCAGTACAGGCTTATAGGCTGTACAGGCTTATAGGCAGTACAGGCTTATAGGCTGTACAGGCTTATAGGCAGTACAGGCTTATAGGCTGTACAGGCTTATAGGCTGTACAGGCTTATAGGCAGTGTATACACAATCTTCACTGGTTAAACGTGACATACCTGGCTAGGCTTTAAGGTAATATATCATCCTGGATCTAGGAAAGCCTGGCTTAGATTTTGGAAGCCTGCCGTGTCTTTAGCAGAAACGCATGGCTTAGCTGTAGGGAGGAAAGCCTCGCTTAGCTGTACAAGAAAAGCTTGGCTTAGTTATAGGAGAGAAAGTATGTCTTAGTTGTAGGAGAAAAATCTGGCTTAGATGTAGGAAAAAAACTGGCTTAGTTGTAGGAGAAAAATCTGGCTTAGTTGTAGGAGAAAAATCTGGCTTAGTTGTAGGAGAAAAATCTGGCTTAGATGTAGGAAAAAACTGGCTTAGTTGTAGGAGAAAAATCTGGCTTAGTTGTAGGAGAAAAATCTAGCTTAGATGTAGGAAAAACCTGGCTTAGTTGTTCGAGAAAAATCTGGCTTAGATGTAGGAAAAAAACTGGTTTAGTTGCAGGAGAAATGCCTGGCTTAGTTGTAGGAGAAAAATCTGGCTTAGCTGTGGGAGCCTGGCTCCCACATAGCCATGGCTTAGATATACAACAGCCTGGCCCTAGCTGTCACAAAACAAGACTCTCCCCTGGAGACGATCATCAAAGTTATTCTGTCGCAACCTGCCTGTCGTCGGGGATCACCAGGAGAATATCATTATCAACCTCGCAATATCTGTATCTCTGATATATATATATATATATATATATATATATATATATATATATATATATATATATATATATATATATATATATATATATATATATATATATATATATATATATATATATATATATATATATATATATATATATATATATATATATATATATATATATGCGAACAAGCCTGAATGGTCCCCAGGACAATATGCAACTGAAAACTCACACCCCAGAAGTGACTCGAACCCATACTCCCAGAAGCAACGCAACTGTTATGTACAAGACGCCTTAATCCACTTGACCATCACGACCGGACAAAATGAGGTGATAGCCTAAGCTATTTGAACCACCCCACCGCCGGCACTCGGATAGTAATCTTGGGCATAGCATTTTACCAAATCACCTCATTCTTTGGGGCACACGTGAGGAACACAAATGCGAACAAGCCTGAATGGTCCCCAGGACAATATGCAACTGAAAACTCACACCCCAGAAGTGTGGGGTATTCAGGCTTGTTCGCATTTGTGTTCCTCACATGTGCCCCAAAGAATGAGGTGATTTGGTAAAATGCTATGCCCAAGATTACTATCCGAGTGCCGGCGGTGGGGTGGTTCAAATAGCTTAGGCTATCACCTCATTTTGTCCGGTCGTGATGGTCAAGTGGATTAAGGCGTCTTGTACATACCAGTTGCGTTGCTTCTGGGAGTATGGGTTCGAGTCACTTCTGGGGTGTGAGTTTTCAGTTAATATATATATATATATATATATATATATATATATATATATATATATATATATATATATATATATATATATATATGCGTACCTAGTAGCCAGAACTCACTTCTATGCCTACTATGCAAGGCCCGATTTGCCTAATAAGTCAAGTTTTCCTGAATTAATATATTTTCTCTAATTGTTTTATTGGAGTTAAAATTAACGTAGATATATG